TGCCGAAAAAAGGCCACTCCAAGACACATTTGTCTCTCGAAAATATTGATTTTCTGCTCCCGGGCGCCCGGGAACCCCTTCCGGGCCGCTTCTGGCACCCGGGCCGGCGCTCGAGCCAAACGCCCGGGCCAGCACCCGGGCCAGCGCCCGGGCCGGTTCCGGCGCCGGCCGGCGCCCGAAAATTGAATTCCGAGGCGGTGCCGAAAAAAGGCCACTCCAAGACATATTTTTCTTTCGAAAATATTGATTTTCTGCTCCCGGCGCCCGGGAACGAACCCCTTCCGGGCCGCTTCTGGCACCCGGGCCGGCGCTCGAGCCAAACGCCCGGGCCAGCACCCGGGCCAGCGCCCGGGCCGTTCCGGCGCCGGCCGGCGCCGGAAAATTGAATTCCGAGGCGGTGCCGAAAAAAGGCCACTCCAAGACATCTTTTTCTTTCGAAAATATTGATTTTCTGCTCCCGGCGCCCTGGAACCCCTTCCGGGCCGATTCCGGCACCCAGGCCGGCGCTCGAACCGAACGCCCAGGCCGGCACCTGGGCTGGCGGCCGAGCCGGATCCAGCGCTGGCGTCGGCTCTGGCCGTCGCCGGAAAAATTGAATTCCGAGGCCGCGCTAACAAAACTCATCCAAACAGATTTTTCGAAAGTGCATCATTTCTGCTCCCGGCGCTCGGAGGCTTCTGCGTCTCAAGGAGAGGTGGAGCAGACATCTCGAGGTAAAAGCAAGCACACGAACGCTATGGACGCGCGATGCGCTGCCACAAGCCAGCTTCCCGCAAAATCGGTCCAGAGTGGGAGGGGACGGAGCTGGGCGGGTGATGGACCTGCAGAGCACTGCTCCAGCCTTCCCTCAGCCCTGGGTCTGCTGACCACACAGGAGCACGGCAGACCACACAGGAGCGCGGCAAACCGCAAAGGAGCAAGGCAGACCCCAAATGAGCACGGCAGTCCACACGTTCGCACGGCAGACCGCACAGGAGCACGGCAGACCGCACATGAGCACGGCAGACCAAGAAGGAGCACGGCAGACCACACAGGAGCACGGCAGACCACACAGGAGCACGGCAGACCACACAGGAAAACGGCGCTTCCCGTTCTTGTCCGGTCAGGTTCCCCAAAATGGCCATTTCGCTCGAGACATCCTCGAAAAATCGAGGTGTTGGAACCCAGAGGCTCCTTTTCGTAAAAAAAAAAAACGATGTAGATGTTCATGTGTGAAAAATCGCGAAAATCATGTTGAAATACGATAGCCATGCGGAAAAGCGAAAACAACATCGAAACACGATAGCAATGATATGGCTGTATCTTGTAAGACACGTGACTGCCCTGAATATGTAGCAGGCCTCGCATGCACGGCCAATGGGTGTCTAAGATTTCCAACTACTTGCGCTGATCATTATCATTGCCAGGATCTTGCATCGCAGCATCAGTGTTGGAACGCGGGGTGTGTACATAAGTATATGGATGCTATGTATTATGATAATACATATATATATATATATATATATTATATATTATATATATATTCCAACGTGTATATATACACGCATACGCATGCACGCGCGGCGGATCGGCACCAGCCCAAGGAATATCGGTGGATTGCGGATCGGCTTCGCCGACCCGATGAAATCGTTTTTCGCTGTCGCCGTCGCCGTCCGCTCCGTCGTCTGTCCTCTCGTCGCCGCCGCTTGTCTTTTCGTGCTTTGCCATCGCCGTCCTCGTCGTGCTCCTTCCTCCGTTTCTTCGAAGGTCCTCTTACATACAAACTTTCCATCAAGCCTTCGCGAATGTTTAAGCATGTTGTTTGGTGATCATCCCATCCGACCTCCGAGTGCACGTTTCCCCAACCACGTGTTGCAACATGTTATGTGTTCTCCAATATTGTTCCCGATCCCCTTCCCGCTGTATTTTGTCAAGTTCCCACTTTCGTTCGAATCCTCCGCCACCTTTTCCGCCACGCCTTCCGTCTTCAGCTGCGTCTCCCAATTGCGCAAAACCGTTTCCCCAACTCTGCAAGTTGCGCGTCCCTGCACCGTCCTCCTCTCCTCTCCCCTCCGCCTCGTCCTTCCTCCTCCTCCTCCTCCTCCTCGTCCTTCCTCCTCCTCTCCTCCTCCTCCTCCTCACCCCCTCCTCCTCGATCCTCCTCCTCCTCCTCCTCCTCCTCCTCCTCCGCCTCCTCCTCCTCCTCCTCCCTCATCCTTCCTCCTCCTCCTCCTCCTCCTCCTCATCCTCCTCCTCCTCCTCCCCTTCCTCCTCCTCGTCCTCCTCCCTCCTCATCCCCCTCCTCCTCCTCCTCCTCCCTCCTCCTCCTCCCTCCTCCTCCTTATCCTCCTCATCCTCCTCCTCCTCCTCCTCCTCCTCCTCCTCCTCCTCCTCCCCCTCCTCCACGATGGATCAAGACTATAAGGCAAGTTGAAATGATGTACTTAAGGCGCTGATGTTCATATAGACTGTGCGTGAGAATGCCAGCGACGACTACTGGTGCTGAAAACCTGCGAGCTCCCAAACCTCCTCCAATTGGGTGATCATATGGATTTTGAGGAGGGTGTTGAGGTGGGAGGGGAGGAGTAATTAGGTGGAGGAGGAATGGGCAATGGAAGACGTCTTTAAAGTAGCCCAGAGCAGGCTATCCAGCAATCTGCATTGGCACTGGAGCACACCGAAAACTCACTGAGTGTCTGCAGTTCCTACGTTAACGCAATTAGACGGGTAGACCGTCTCAACACAAGCTGGCGGCGAGCAGGCGGCGAGTTGCGGAAGAATTGGATCGCTCATGCTCGGCTTCAGGGGTCGCGGCTGCGGTGATTCCTCCACGACAATTGGCGAAACGGGCGGGGAGTCGATCTCAGTGTCGCAACTCGCATTAGGCCTGAGCCGCTTCACGGGGCGTTGTTCCGAATTTGGCACAGTCGCTTGCACTGCTGATGCGCTTCCTGACGTGACTGCTGGCCCATCCGCCTGCAGCGCATCGGGTCCCCACGTGACTTTCGGGAGCTCGAACTGCACTAGAGGAGCCGCAGTCCCTCGACGAAGATGAATCTTGCATGGGATCATTATTGGGATCATTTTCCCTTCCAGGCTCTCTGAAAGATTCTCTGCTGACAGCTGAATGTTAAACTCAAACTCCATGTTAGAAATAACACGTTGAGTCATCAATCGAACGGTGCTGGCGTCTGTGTTGCAACTTCCAGCTTGAACAAAAACAAGCTACGGTGGTTAATGAGCCCACTGACCGAACGAACGAAACGACTATGACAAACTTCGGAAGTGTAGTGTGTTTCATGGTGTCGCGATTGCGAATCATCAATGCCACGAACTGTTCAGGGGTCCTTCGGAGGTGCGAGGGCGATGCAATTTATTTTCAATTTAATTGGCAAGGAACGTCCACGTTACATTGCACGAACTCGCACCAGTGTGAAGGCAGGCCAGTCCCTCCTACTAGCCTTCCTGGAACAAGCCCTGACTGCAGCCAACGCATTGGCCCCTCGCCCGCCCTTGATTTGCAGCAGCCCTCGATCGGGGCCGCAACGGCGGCGGCAGAAAGCAGATCCCATCCCTCCTCGTTATCGTATTCACTCCGCTTCCTCCCGTCGTCGTCTACTTCGTCGTCGCCCCCCCGTCAGCGTCGTCGCCCCGCGCCAGCGGGAGGCGCCCTAGGAGTCAGCTAGACTGCTGCATATGCAGAGTTCTCTTCAACGAACGGCAACAAACGTAACTTGAAAAAAATCGCATCTTCCCACCGCAATCGGTGGCATGACTGGGCTATGCCAGAAATGACGGCGTTCAAGGACTCGTCATGGAAGCAACTGAAAAATCTCGGGTTCCCGAAATGTCGGATACCTATTGTCAAGTGTGCAAACATGTGATGTTTGGGCACTAAAGGTATCTGCGTTGCCTCTGCCAATGAGAGGTGGCGGAGGCAGAGGTCCAACAGCTTTTGGCACGTGCCTAGGGGCACCACTCTGGGGCTCTCCCTAAGTATAGCCATGTACTCTAGTAGGGCACCACCTGCATGTTTCAAAACTGCCCCATTGGCCAGGGCACCTTCCTTGCGACTACACAGATCTACAGCCCACGCGAGTAGAACACCAGTTTCATGTGCTTTCAGTTTCAAATCTCTGGCCTTGTCACTACCCAACATACTTTTGGTCAGGTGGTTCAGCCTGTCCCCGTGATCTATGTTTGCTCTAGAATACCAGGCCTTGATATCTACCCATATGTGTTGGACGCCACGGCTCACCACGGCCTTCCTCGGGCCGTCGACCCTCCAAACGTTCGAATCCAAAGACGCCCACATCACGAACATGACGTATGATTGCAGCACTCCTAGATACACCGTGTGTAGCATGTCTATGCGCATGGTGACGTGAGGCGAAGCACCTACCTCAGCGCAAAATATAGGATTGCGCTTGAGAACCCGGTCATTGATTCGATTACCATCCCAGCGTCTCCTCCAAAAGGTAACTCTGAATGGTATAGGGGTTGTCTCAAAGTTTGCAACGTCTTGCAAGTCAGGTCCTGGATCAAGCCTGTCCCATTTCTTGAGAAGGACGTCACCTATCATGACATCGTGCTCAAGTATTCTACCCCTAGTTTTGGACCTGTCGAAGTGCAAGCCACCATCACGCATGATAGCGCGCTTCTTAAGCTCGGAATCCACCACAACCTGGAATTCGCAAAGTTGACACGCAGCCTCGTATGCACCAGCCTGAAGGTCACCCCAAGCATGTCCCAGAAGCGAAATGTTACCAAAGTTGAATCTGCGCCAGCGTGGGGCCAGCAAGCTGAAACCAGTGGCTCGACTTTCCGAACAAAACCTCCCTCCTTGTTCTCCTCTTCCTGATCCTCCCCCCGCCCAGCCCTCTCCCTCCCTTCCTCGCGTCCAATCCTGGTCCCTCCCTTCCTCCCGTCCAATAGGCTGGTCCCTCCCTTCCTCCCTGATCCTCCTTTTCCATGCTTCCGCAGTCCGCCGTCCCCCTCGATGTTCGATTGGTTTGGGTATTTGTCGGGGCTGCGCCAGCAGTCGCATAGATCGGGCTTGTTCGCACCACAGAATATGCACGGGAAATTATGACTAGCCCACGTCGGCAGACCAAATGATGTTGTGTGTTCAGACCAATCGCCAGTAATATCTACCAGCAAGAAACGGGCTGGCAGCCTGGGCTCACTCTCCGACAGCAGCTTGAGTGGGTCGTCATCTGACATTGCAGAATTGTCCCAATTCCGTTGGGGCCGAATCCCGCTGGCGAGACTCTTCAACGTCCATGCGATAAAATTGAAGACAGGCCGTAAACTGCACCACCCCCTGCACCCACAGTCACACGTCTCCCTCTTAGACAATGTTCCCAGGAAGTGCCTCTTAGAGGTAGCTAAATTGTGCACCGAAAAATTGTATAGCGAGTCCCATTTTCCAGGGCCGATACTCCTAGTGAACCTGACCCCATCTAGATATAGTGCCAGCGGGTAGCATGGTCGAAGGTCACCTTCGATATGACGGTGAGGGTGGTCCTCGAAACTTTTCGCCCAATAGCCTTCGGCTTGAGCTGTGTTCATATACGATGTTTGCACCTCTAGCGCCAAAGCCTCATGCAACGCAACGAATGGAACGACTTTCTCCTATAGGGGGTGCCGATGGGGAAACGGGGCTCGTTAACAATTGTTGTCCCCCCCCCCTCTTGAGGGGGGAGGGGTATAAGGGCTTGTTGGGTTTATCCCTCCGTCCTCCTCCTCCCGTCGCCCTCGAACCCTTCCTCAGCCATCCTTTTGTTGGCCCCGTCCGTCCTGGCGCTGCCCTCGCAGCAACAGAGGAACCTTAAGACTGCAATAGTGGACCTTAGATTCTTGCGGAAGAACAGCCTCTAGATGTCGCTGAAAGTTCCCGTCGTTGGTGTGCGAGTGGTATGACAATTTCCCCAATAGTTTACCAGATGCACCTGCCTCGCGAGCGAGTTTTGAAATTATGCACGTGTCTTTCCCGCTTAGTTTCCCCAGGGCGTACATCCGAAGTAGATAGTTGGCTAGCTCATCACCTTTCCGCTCCTCGGTAGCCAGAGTTCCCCGTTGGCCCGAGCGTTCCCATGACGACGTTGCTCCAGAGCTCTCCCAGCTGTGCAACCTAACTGGCCGCACAGGCGAGGGATCCTTGCGTGGGCGTTTTTGCCGCCCCTGCGGCGGCATGAGAAAGCTCTGCCTCGAGCCAAGCAGCTATCGCAATAATATTTCTTGTGCGGCCTACTCAACTATAGTAGCACAATGTTTTTTTTTTGTTTCTGGAGGTCGAGGGGTGCCAGATGGGGGGTGCCCGGAGGATCACTGCTGGATCACCGCTGGATCACCGGTAGATCACCGCTCGATCACCGCATCGTTTTTTGAGGATGTCTGCAGCGAAATCGCCTGGATCACCGCTGGATCACCGCTGGATCACTGCTGGATCACCGCTGGAACACCGCTGGGTAGCTGCTGTGTTTTTTGTTAGGGCTGTCAAGTTTCGATCCTGAGGCTCGGTTGGCTCAAGCTGGGGGAGGGGGGAGGGGGGATACAGGACAACATTTAGCTCGGCCCCAGAATTCGAGCTGCCACAACTCACGATTGTAATTGAACTCGAGTCTGCAAGTGCGCAGACGTACACCGCCCTAGATCACCCGCACGAGGTCGGTCACTCCGAGCTGTCGCCGCGGTTCGACAGGTCCTTCATCTGGCGCAGCCACACGAGCGCATCCTGGAGCTTCCCGAGCTCCGCGAGGATCTTCATTGACGACTTGTAGCGCTCATCTGCAGGGTAGGACTCGTCGTCAATACCGTTCAGGATCATGTTGCTGAACGGGTCCTCGGCGTTGTAGATGTCCATGACCTTGCTGAGCCGCGTCTGCACACGCGGCAAGAAGGACCGAATGGACGCCCACTCCTCATCGGAAGTAGCTTTGTCGATGATTGACCTGTGCTGGCTCAACGTTGGAAAAAATCCTGACCCTCCTCCTCCTCCTCCTCCTCCTCCTCCTCCTCTTCCTCCTCCTCCTATTCCTCCTCATCGTCCTCCCTCCTCCTCCTCCTCCTCCTCCTCCTCCTCCTCCTCCTCCTCCTCCTCCCCCTCTTCCTCCCCCTCCTCATCCTCCTCTTCCTCCTCCTCTCCCTCTCCTCCTCCTCCTCCTCGCGTGACCTGGCGCTCTGGGTAGTGGTGGAGTAAGTGTTGAGCACGTCCTGAATCGCCTTGGTGAACGCCTTCCCCTCGGGGACCTTGTCGGACTTGGGTGTCTTCTTGCCCTTGCCAGACTCCTTCTCCTTCTTGTCCTTCGTGCTCGTCTTGTCCTTCTTCTCCTTCCCTGCAGGTTTTCCGACCCTCGGGGTCGAGGGCTTGTCGTTGCCAGTGTTCCCCGTGCTCTTCTCGGTCTTGAGCGGCGTCTCCGTGGCAGTGCGCAAACCCTGAGTCTGCGGCGTTGCCTCGGCGTGCGTGGCGGGATCGTCTCGATCTCGAGGCAGTCCAGAAGATGCTGCTCCTGTGCGCTG